AGCCATTCACGTTTACTTACAACGTCCAAGGAACACCAGTACGTGAAGTAAATGAATATAAATACCTAGGAATAACCATTACAAACACACTTTCTTGGTCCGCACATATAACAAATGTCTCCGCATCAGCTTCTCGTAAGCTTGGTTTTCTGAGGCACAAACTGAAAAAAGCCCCTCCGAAATTAAAAATGCTCGCGTACAAAGCGTATATTTTGCCTAAACTTGAATATGCGTCAGTGGTTTGGGACCCTTTCTACAAAAAAGACATTCAAAAACTTGAAATGGTTCAAAGACGCGCTGTACGTTTTATTTTTTCTAAGTTTAAATCATTTGATTCTCCGACAAAATTAATGAAAGACAACGATATTCCTGTGCTTGAAGATCGCCGCAGAATCGCACGCCTGAAACTCTTGCATTCCATTTATAATGGTAAGCTGAATATTCCTGCCCATAAATACATACAACCATTCTCTCCTCGCACATCTAGGCATCGTCATATGCATAACCTGCTCCCATACACCACGCGGACTAACACCTTTAAAAATTCTTTCTTTCCCCGAACAATTATTCAGTGGAATAGCCAACCACCTGATGTCATTTCATCTGATGACTTCGAGAAAGCGTTGCTCAGAGCATCTCAACCGTGACATAAGTGCACCTTCTCTGTACTGCTAGTGCTTAATATAATGTTTATACTCTGTATTCATGCAATATCACTTTTTCGGATTGTTGGCGCTCAGTACTTGTAATAGTTGACGCGTTTTCATGTGTATAAATTTGTCTGTACGTATGTGTATATTTTTTTTTCTGTGTGCTTTAAGACATCACTCTATTTTCGCCATTATTTATTATTTATTTTTATATGGTCTGTTATATTTTTTCTTAAATTCATTGTATCATCCATTTTGTATTCTTGCAAATTTGATTATTCCTTTAATTTTTTTCTCGATGTTTGCATATTTGTTTATTGTAATGTTCCCCATCTGCTTGGTCTTCAGTGACCGCAGTATTTTCTAAATAAAAAAAAATAAATGGTCTACGGCAACGATGGCCCAGCGCTTACCAGCCGATGTCAGAGGAAGTGGTCCATACAAATCGATGCATACGTGTTCAAAAGGACGGTCAGGGCAAGGTAACGGTTGCAGACCGCCATGCGACACGTGTGCTGACGATTTGTGGTGTAGGCAGCGATGCACGAGCGAATGAACTGCTGCACGTAGTGGTACATGCCGTGCCAGAAGTAGCGTTGCCGCATGTGATGGTAAATTTTGGATACCCCAGAGTGCGTACATTGCGGATATGAATGGAAAGATTCACATATCTCCAACCGCAGACTGCGGGGTATGACGAATAACCACTGCCGGTCATCGGAGTTATATTTGCGTCGGTGTAGGAGACCGTCACGGATGGCAAAATGGTGAGCTCGACGACGCAGGGCACGCATGGATGGTGTTGCGGATGGAGCAGAGAGGAAGTCGATCAGTGGGGCGATACAATTACCCTTTCGCTGTTCGGTAGCAAGGATGTCAACATCGATGGCAGATACAGCAATTGAGGTTGCTGAGCAGGGCACGTCGTCTTGAGGTAGAGGGGAGTGCGAGAGGGCATCGGCGTCAGCATGCTGGCGTCCATAGCAGTACAGCACATGGATGTCGTGGTCTTCTAAGCGAAGAGCCCAACGGGTGAGGCGGCCTGAGGGATCCTTAAATGATGAAAGCCAGCATAGTGCATGATGGTCGGTGATAACATCGAATGGGCGACCATATAAATAAGTTCGAAACTTTTTAGGGCCCAGACGATCGCCAGGCACTCTTTCTCTGTGACGGTGTAGTTTGTCTCGGTTCTCGTGAGCGTACGGCTTGCATATGCTACGACATATTCAGGGAATCTGGCTTTGCGCTGCGCCAGGACAACGCCAAGGCCTACACCGCTGGCATCCGTGTGCACCGCCGCTGTGGCTGTAGGGTCGTAGTGGCGTAGATTGGGAGGCGACGTCAACAAATGGCGATGGTTCGCGAACACGTCGTCGTACTCCGATGACCATGAATTGAAGGGTCCGTTATTTCCAAGGAGCTTCGTCAGCTGTGATATGATCGTGGCAAAGTTTCGTATGAAGTGTCGGAAGTATGAGCACAGGCCCACAAAACTACGCAGTTCTTTGAGAGATGCAGGTTTTGGGAATTCAGCCACGGCCTGAATCTTGGCAGGATCAGGAAGAATGCCGTCCTTGGACACGAAGTTCCCTAGGATGGTGAGTTGCAGTGCTGCAAAGCGGCACTTTTTCAGATTTAGTTGCAAGCCGGCATTGCTCACACGTGCGAAAAGATGCGTGGCGATATCCGAAGCGAAGAGAATGACATCGTCGAGGTAACACAAGCACGTGTACCATTTCAAGTTGCGGAGAACACTGTTCATCATGCGTTCAAAGGTCGCAGGTGCATTACATGGACCAAATGGCATGACGTTGAATTCATGCAAGCCGTCTGGTGGGACGCAGACGGTCTTCGGTCGAGCGTCGTCAGCCATGGGTACTTGCAAGTACCCCGAGCGCAGATCGAGAGAAGAAAAAAATCGGCTCCATGAAGGCTGTCAATTGCGTCATCGATGCGTGGCAGTGGATAAACGTCATTGCGAGTGATCTTATTGAGGCGTCTGTAGTCCAAACATAACCGCACAGAACCGTCTTTCTTCGCAACAAGAACAACAGGAGACGCCCATGGACTGTCCGAGGGCCGAATAACGTCGCGTCTGAGCATATCATAAACCTGCTCAATAATTACCCAACGTTCAGCAGGCGACACGCGATATGGACGGTGCCGTAAAGGTAGATGGGCACCAGTGTCGATACGATGCGTAATAGCGGACGTGCGACCGATAGAACTACGCCCGACATCGAAAGAAGAACGATATTCTTGCAACAGGTCCAGAAGCTCGGAACGCTGTACCACCGTAAGGTCGTCAGCTATGGAGGGGCCCAATACATCAGCAGATGACGGATCAGAAGTGGAAACAGCATTGATGGTACGCGACTTAGGACAACGCGTGCCATCGCGTACATCCAGGACTAGTGCGTCGTCGACTGGTTCCACTCTGCCGAGACATTACCCTCGAAGCAAGGTAACAGTGTACGGGGATGAGATGGTTACATAAATAGTGGCGTTGCCCTGGCTGACCTGCATGGTCATGATAGGTACTAGCAACCCTTTTCGGCTACAAGCACGGTCGGATGGTGAAACGAGTGTAATTGTGTCGGAGAGACCGGCACAGTGGACAGACACAGCCATCGTCGAGTTTTGAGGCAGTGTTGTATCGTCGTTGATTAGAGTCCTGCTCAGTGTAGAGGGACTGTCTTCTTGCGTCAAATGCGAGAAAGGTGAGAGTTCAATTTTAGCGGTGGCACAATGGCTGACGGCGTCATGGCGGGAGAGAAAGTCCCATCCCAGGATGACGTCATGGGATCATGCCGGAATGATGAAGAACTGGGTGACATACAGAACGTCTTGTATGACAACGCGAGCTGTGCACGCTGCTGTAGGACGAATAGGATGCAAACTAGCAGTATGGAGGGACAACCCGGAAAGTGGCGTCGTGACTTTTGGAAGGAAGCGGCAGAGTTTTTTGTCCATAACTGATACGGCAGCTCCAGTGTCAATAAGAGCCGTTGCACAAACACTGTCCACAAGCACGTCAATGACGTTCGAGGGGCTGTTCTGAGGGCTTTCACACTGCGATAGCGTCGCAGTCTTTGCTTCGAGGAATGCGACAACTAGCTTTCCCGCTCATGAGCAGCTGGACTTGGCCGCATGGGGGACAGAGAACGACGTCGTGGGGACGGCAACCTTCGAGGAGATGGACCTGGGTGAGACGGTGGTGGCATAGACGGCGGTTCTTCGTGATAGGGATGGCTGAGCTGGCCAGCAACAGGCGAAGAAATTGGAGGCAGCTGTACGCGATGGCAATAATGGGCTACGTGACCGGCGTAACCACAGGCAAAGCAGATGGACCGGTTGTTGGGTGTGCGCCATCTGTTCACCAGGGTAGGGCTCACCCATGGTCTCACCCATGTCGCAAGGGCCGATGGACGGAACGGCAGCTGCATGGTGGGCTGAAGATGAGGCTGAGGAGTTACGTCAACATACGTACGGGCATACCCGCTGCAAAGGACGAAAGTCGAGTGGCAGCTTCAGCGTAGGTCAGAGGGGCGGGTGCTGGAACGACTTGAGGCGACCTGGCAACCACTTGGGCGTAACTCAGGGTTTGGAGATCTCAATATCAGGGGATCTCAAAATTTTGGTTTTGCCATTCCATAGACGGCTAGTTTTCCATCGCTGTCAATCAATAAATCATATACATATCTCTGACTTTCCGCTTAATGGTCCTTGTCGCCATGTCGCCCTCACTGACAGTCACATATTAACTGGTGAGGCTCCTGGTTTTTTCTCCACTTTGTGTGCACGCTCCTTCTATACAAATACCATTCATCATATACAAGTAACATGATCTAGCAAACATTCTCAGATCTAAAAGAGAGGTAGCTACTTACTAAATTCATCGAGGACACACGACCCACGTCTTAAGGAGTTTCGCCCCTTCAAGAGACTTGGACACATTGGGGTGCATAGTCTCTATTTTAGGAGCTAGTCTCCCTGCCTTACGAGAAAAAACTGTGTGCGAGAATGGTGATGTGGCTGTCCACTCGAAATGCTCTATTGTAGACCACACTCATAGGCCCCAGTGGCGATGGTGCTTTGCATGACTTTGTCGTACTTGAGTGAGAGCACAAAAAGTGTGGTACGTATTGCTGTGGATACAAACGCTTTAAATGTAAATTAAAGAAGCATTTATGCTCTTCAGAACTTTAGCCGTACTTGGGCCAGATGGCTAATGTGTTAAATAGTTACAACAAATAATGTTCGGCAAACTCGTAATAAAACATATTTGCTTGCATCAAAATGCATTTGGCTTAGCAACACTTATTCAATCGCCCGTACTTTTTACAGGAACCTACGCACGGAGCAGCATCGCCTGAGCCACTGCCGTATCCCGAGTATCCGGTGTTTCCTGGCCCAAGGGTGGGAAATATGTTCGTTTTGCTTTTATTTAGGTTTTTTATGACTACTATATGTTAAACAATCAGTAAAACAGATAAAATGCTGTGGTTATGCTTCAGATTATTTCGAAAAAAAAGTGTCAAGTGACCCTTCGAACCGAAGGTAAGAGAGGCGTTGCAAAAGGCTATTTAGCGCGGATAGTCCACCAGCGATAGATCATATGGAGTGGGTAGGTGGTTAAACTTTATTTTCTTTTTGAAATTGAATGGGCAAATGCCAATAGAGACGGTGGGACACATGGTAGATCTACGTAATTCTCTTGGTACATCCCAAGACGACCTACTATACGTCGGGTTTTAAGCTTCTTAAAGGAGCCCGTCACTCTTCGTCATTATCTAAGGCTGGTCGCAGGGACGGCAAAATGAAATTGCTAACTCTTAAGCGGCGATGACTACATTGGTTACGGCTGTGGCAATTGTTTTATAGTAAATGTGTGAACTTGTGACCAAGGTAGAGCAAGGTATGTTGCTAACGACATGTATTGAACCCTCCGCGTAGTACTTATGTAGTGCCTTGGCCTCAGTATGCTTCGTTAGTATGGCTGTAGCTCGTTGCTTCTCTGAAGCCACTATACAATGTTTGATGTACCGTTCAACGTATCGCCTTTAACGACCGAAGGCCAAATGTTTTTCGCCATTGTGGTTGCAACCAAGAAGTTATTATAGGAACATTCGGATAATAAATCATTGCCTTTTTTCGAAGTCAAACTGGAACAGTGCGTACAGGAGAATGATGAAATATTTGACTTGTTGATAATTACAACCATTTACAAAAACTCAGAAGAAACAGCAGATCACTCACTTTTCTTTCTTGAAGTGTATAATTAAGTATCCTGGTATTAAGGTATAAGATGTTGACATAGACAGCGCTATATATTTCACCCCCCGCCCACGGTGAAATTAAGATTTGCCTTTGTTGCAGAGTTACAATTACAGAAAGAGGACGGATATGTGGAGAGGTGACGAAGGGAAAAAAGAGCGAGATTCGGCAGTTTGTCTTTGGAGTACTTTGTGCCAGCGCGGATATATTGTTATAGGAGGCGGAAAGCTTAACGCCTCAAATGGTAGTGGCTGCAGATGTTATCAAAGGTTTCGTATTGATTTCAGCGTACGGCCGCCTTGAAGGGCTATCCTGGTAGTGAAGGCAGAATACACACATTTTAATTCTGTATAAAACGCACACAGCAAGAATATCAATGGTTAATAATCTCCAAATAAACTCATCGCATGGTGAAAATTGAACATAGTCGGGAAGAGCATTCCACATTTGAATAGTTTCGACAGAGACAAAGCTGTATTTATACGAATCAGTATGGTGATTAGAAGCAGGCATGTTGAACACATGGTAATGTCTTTCAGACGTTAACTTGGCAACGGCGATGTAGTTTCTGACTAAATGAAATTGTAAGCGGTGAAAGAGAGTAAATAACTTAAATGATTCAACGAGACGATGAGACGTGTGAGTACTAGAGTGAAGGCTATGAAGATGAGAGCTAAGTGATAATGCCTCTTGTAGCGACGATATAAGGCGTACTGCCTTCTTCGGGGCACATTCTACGGGAATGTGAGATATTTTGTGAGGATTCCATACAACAGAGTTTGTGCAATATTAGAGTATGGCTAACATTTCAATAGTTGGGAGTCTTGCTTTCACTAGGGTCACACGTAGAGTAGGTTTTAGGTAGCCCATTTCTTTAAAGACACGGTTGACATGACCTCAACGTGATGTTACAAAGCAAGACCTTTAGTAGAAAGATATATAAATAGATAGGTAGATAGATAGATAGATAGATATAGATAGATAGATACGCTCAGTCACCGAAGTTTGCTATTAATGCTTCGCATTCAATGAGCGCTTACAGCTGACCACCTAAATGGTGCACTGTTGTCTACCCTGTATTGTCTTAGTACGCATGCGAGCGCGTGTAGGAGAATGAAATTGCCCCTATTTTTTCGTAGTCCAATAATGAACAACGGCATGCTCCAGTCTGGGCTGCCGAAGCGCACGCAATGTGTGAAACAAGCGTCACTCCGCGTAAAATCAACGCTGCTCTACTGCCCCTTAAGTCGCGCCGGATCACTTTTGGCGGCGGGGCAGCGGGTAGTGGTACTTTGCCTTTTTCAGGGACTTTAACTGATGTATAGATGAACGCTCTGAGCATCCCCTTTATAACAGGGTGGGGACATGTGTGCCACCACGACTGCATAGAAAAGGCAAAAAATGTTTCTTTTTATATATTCCTATGCTATTTCGAATAAATGGATCTTACTATAACAAAGATAATTATAAACTTTTGTTCTATCTCTCTACTTTTTCAGACAGAACGACCTCATTTTTCTACTATTTCTGGCACTTATTTCTACTTTTTTGCCACCAATACTCTAACCATCTCTCACTTGCTTTGAACGCGGATGTGTTCAGCTTTCCATGTTTGTCTCTGAAACTCAAAGCCTCATTTAGGCTTGTACTCACACGTAATCTGGGTGGCTACTATCGCATTCAGGCAGAACATGTTCCATTGTTTCCTTAGTTCTCCTACAGCACGTACATTCTTTTTCTGCCTTATTGAATCTCGCTTTATGACTACGTGTTCTAAGGCAACACGACCTCGCTTCGCACAATAAAGTGGTTCTAAATAAATCATCATAAAACCCCGCCCTCCCTAATTTGTTTTTTCACTTTGTGTAGTTAATGAGAGCCAGCTTCTTTTACATAGCTGTCATCTAACAAATCTGCTCTACCTCTCTTAGCTTTCGCTTATTGCTCTTTGCTGCCGTGTTGCCCACACTGCCAGCTGTATATTTACGAATGAGCCTTTTAGTTTTTTTCTCCACTTTTTGTGGACGTTCTTTCTGTACAAATACATTAACACCTTCAAAGCTCATATACTATCCTTCAAGTTTCTGAGCCTCGTCATTTCTGAATTGACTCTGAGCTTCCCTGACCTCAAAGACTGTTCATGCCACATGTCGCTCTACAGCCTCAATCGACGTCTTCCCGTGAGTGCCTAACGCGAGGCGTCCCACAGTCCCTTGATTTACATTAATTCCTGATTGCGCTTCTGACTTTATGCACACTACTGAGTTCCCAAATGTAGCCCTGGAATCATTACGTCTTTCGAGAGACCTCAAAGTACTTCGTACATATTCCACGCTCCGTGCTTCATTATTTCAGCATTTGTCTTTGCCTTCGCTGATCTTTTTTCCTGTACCTCCATATATCCATCTCCCTCATTCACCTATACTCCGAGATACACGTGGTCACTTACCCTCGATAACATTGTACGAGCAGCTCAACCAGGCCGCAATATGTGCATGTGCAAATTTTCGTGTCTTATCCTAATACGCACGTAGCATGTTTCGATCATCCGCCTCGTCTGCTGTGCGCCACACGTGTGCAACTGTCATGGCAGCGGGGCTCTACATTGGGATGGCATCACGTTTAGGGCGCAGGTTCTTCGTTGACAATCTGAACTCTCTCAGCAACTGCATGTTGCGTGTGTACGCATCCAGAGTGAAGTGTAGCGAACAGAATAAACTCTGCCTGCTTGGTACACTCTAAAAATATCGATTAAAGAGGGTGTCTTTTTGTCCCACAACCATAATCGTAATCAGGCTTGCGTGCGCTTCCTTTCTTGAAAACTCGGCGCTGGCCAATTTGCTATCGAGAATGCAATGTAACCCTGATAGGGGGCATGTCCATCGTGACTGGAGTGTACCAGGTGTGGGGCGATAGCGCAAGGATGGAACGCAATATAGATGACGATTATTGTTGTGGGACAAAAAGACTCCCTTTTTACTCACTATTTTTTAGAGTGTATCCAGTCTCCACCTTGGCCGTGGCGCATGAAGTCGACCCACTTGTCTCAGTGCCGGATCAGATGGGAAACGGGGGAGCTTTCACCTATTATCCCGGTTTCACTGCCTAACGACATCACAGGGCAAAATATTGGCGCCATGGCGACAAATTCGAAATCAAGCGATTCATTCGCCCTCTTAGAAGCGCTAGCTCGCTTCACAGGCACATTAATTGACAGTGACCACATGGCACGAGCCGACAATCTAGGAGTCGACGTGCAAGCTGCCATTTTTTTGTATTTTGGTGCTTGAAGTCATCACAAGCCACACTCTTGCACTGAGTCACCAGCATTGGCAATGTAGCCTTACATCAGGTTAGTGTCGGTGTCGGTAAGTGCGCTGCTAAAAATTTTAGTTTAATATCAAAATATTGTGACATTATCTTGTCAGTACTTAAAATATAGTCAGTATATATTGTAGTGGATCATAGCAATGATGTGACCGGTGCGTGAGGGACAGACCAGGAAAAGACAAGGACGAAGACAGTGTTGTGTTGATTGTGTTCGAGCGAGTAATTCTTGTACGTTACATTTGGTGGCAGCGGTGGGTTACTTGGAGCACGTAGTCAGCGCCAAAGGCATCAGCTCTGAGCCCAAGAAGCTCCAAGCCATTACCTGTATTCCGCCTCCCACCACGGCTAAGCAGCTTAAAAGTTTCCTGGGCTTCGCTTCATATTTCAGGCGCTTTGTCCCTGACTTCGCTTCTTGCGCGGTACCTCTCAACGAGTTACTGAAGAAAAATGTTCCCTGAAAATGGGGACCCGACCAAGAAGCTGCCTTCCGCGACCTCAAGACTGTCCTTCAAGCACCACCGACGCTCGTGCACTATAATACGTGAATGCCCCGATGATTCTACACACCGATGCCAGTTGTATTGGCTTCGAAGCTGTTCTCTTGCAAGTTAACGAAGACGGGCAGGAGAGACTGGTTGCTTATGCTAGCCACCGGCTCAGGAAACTAGAGAGCCGATACCACGCCTCTGAACTTGAGTGCTTGGCGGTAGTTTAAGCGGTCAAAAAATTTCGTCCGTATGTTTATGGTAAAAGCTTCACGGTCGTTACGACAATGTCACCCTTCGCTGGCATCAAACAAAAGAAAGACTTCA